GCACTTTAAATAACACCACTTTAAATAAAATCACTTCAAATAATACAACTTTAAATAACACCACTTTAAATATTACCACTTCAAAAAATATCACCTTAAATAACACCACCTCGAATGATATCACTGTCAATAATATCCTCTTCAATAATATCATTCAAAAAAAAATCACTCAAAAAAAGTCATTAAAAAAAAAATCTCACTGTCAATAATATCCTCTTCAATAATATCATTCCAAAAAAAAATCACTCAAAAAAAAAGTCATTCAAAAAAAAACATAGCTCAAAAAAAATCACTACCAAAAAAATCCTGCCAAAAAAAAATCCCTACAAAAAAATATCACTCAAAAAAATATCACTCAAAAAAGATTACCACTCCAAAAAATATCACTCCAAAAAATATCACTCCAAAAAATAATGTCACTTGAAATGACAGCACTTTAAATAACACCACTTTAAATAAAATCACTTCAAATAATACAACTTTAAATAACACCACTTTAAATATTACCACTTCAAAAAATATCACCTTAAATAACACCACCTCGAATGATATCACTGTCAATAATATCCTCTTCAATAATATCATTCCAAAAAAAAATCACTCAAAAAAAAAGTCATTCAAAAAAAAACATAGCTCAAAAAAAATCACTACCAAAAAAATCCCGCCAAAAAAATAATCCCTACAAAAAAAATCACTCAAAAAATATCACTCCAAAAAGATTACCACTCCAAAAAATATCACTCCAAAAAATATCCCTCCAAAATTCCAGCAGTGCAGAACCACAGGACGGGATCCCTCGTGCTCCCCAAGCCCCCAGAGTGCCCTGGAATTCCAAATCTCTGCTTTCACCTCCTGCTTTTCCCCCCGGGCTGTTTGACCCTGGCAGCACAGCCAAGCCCAGCGCTCCTGGCACCGTTGTTATTTTAAACACACTTCCAATAAACTCCCCAATGCAGTCGGAGGCCTGCGAATAAACGAGCTCATTAAACACCCCTGGCACTTAGCAGCATCTCTGGTGGCCAATCCCAGCTCGGGCAGGGCTGTAATTTATAACTTTGATGCCCGTTTAATCTGCTCATAACCATCAATCTCTGATTTTTATTGCCCCGTTCTGCAGCCTGAGCAGAAAACCTGCTCCAATTAGCCCCCCACCAAAGAGACCCTCGCGAATAAATACTGACTTTAATATCCCACGGCACAATTCCCTGGGATCCATTTCTTATTTCTGGAATAAAAGAGCTGGGGAAGAGGTTTGTGATGACAAAAGCAGCCCCAGAGGGCTGGGGAAGAGCAGCTGGGGAGCAGGAGCTGCTCCGGGCAGCCCAGATGGCACCAGGAGCTTGTGGGGTGGGACGTGCCACAAGTCACCCTCCAGGGGGATGGGAGACCCCCAGAGCTGCAGCTGGCTCCAGCTCCAGCTCCAGCAGGGAATTGGGGTGCTTGGGAATGAGGCATGGAGCAGGGGAGGCTGCCAGGAAAAGGAAATCAGGGGGAGCCCATCAATCCCTGTCAATGCCAGGCTGCCAGGGATTCATCCCCAGTGCCAGGAGCTGCCAAAGGAGGAGCTGGAATAATGATTTTCCTCGGGATATCAGCCTGGCTCAGAGCTGGAATCTGCACCCTCTGGAGCATCAGAACCTGCAAGGTTCTCCTGGGGAAGAGCATTTCCCACTGAGGTGGAAAACCAGCCTGGTTTCCAGGCAGGAAAACAGATGGAGGCACCTGAATTGCTGCCCTTGAGCCCTGGGAAGCCTCTGAGCTCCTGATTCCTGCAGCTCCTCGAAGGGAATCTCTGCTGTGGCCATCAAAAACCTCGGACAGGGATCACAGCAGCAGCTCTGGAACTGCTGCATGGAATCCAAGCTGTGCTTTCTACTCAAAACCACAGACTGATCCCCCAGAAAAGCCCCACTTTGAGAATGGAGACAATTCCTGGCAGTGCTGGGGCAGGGGGATGTGCTCCCGAATCCCTGTGGTTCACTGGGAGGCCAGCTGCTAACTCTGTCAGGCAATATTCAGTGATGGATTCCAAAAGGATGTGCAGGGTAATCAGGCTCTGCTCCTGAGAGCACTAATTGGGTTAAGCTCATGAACAAACCCTTGGGAGCAGCAGCCTGGCCAAAGGGAGAGCAGGAAGGGCAGGAGGAAAGGACAAGGGAAAAAAATTATTCTGTGCAAAGGGAAAAAATGTGAGTCTGTGGATTGTGCCCTTCATCTGGCACCTTTAAAATGGCAGATTTAAAGTGGCATTTGAAAATGATTTTGGGAATGATTAATTAATGATCAAATAAAATGATTTTTTAAATGATTAATGGGAATAGAAATGGCACCAAAATGGATGGGTGTGGCATTATGGAAGTGCCAGGATCCTGGAATGGTTTGGAGGGACCCCAAATCCCACCCAGTGCCACCCCTGCCATGGCAGGGACACCTCCCCCTGCCCAGCCTGGCCTTGGGCACTGCCAGGGATCCAGGGGCAGCCTTGGGGAACCCATCCCAGCCCCTCCCTGGGAAGATTCCTGCCCAGCATCCCACCCAAGCCTGCCTCTGGCACTGGGGCCATCCCTGCTCCAAGCCAAGGACACCAAAGCAGGGGATGTGCTCCCTCTGCCCTGAATATCCCAAACAATCCCAGGCCAAGGACTGCCCCAGCAGCCTCCTCTGCTCTCAGCCATGGCAAAAGGAAAGGGCTGGCTTTGCTTCCCCTGCAGCACAGCACAGCCCAGAATTCCAAACTGAGAGGTTTGCCCCGGAGTCAGCTCTGAAATCACACTGGCATTACAGGCAATCCATCACCTGCCACTGAATTCATGTCAGAGTCCAGGGGCAGGGAAATCAATCCATGCAAACGAGGAGCTGCTGGACTTCCATGGAGCCTGGAGTGCCCCTCCAGCTTTCCCTCAGCTCTCCCTGTGTGCATCCCTCATTCCTGACACCTTCCTTCAGCTGGGGTGGCACCTCCAGTCTCACTACAAACTGCTTGCAGGGATTTCTTTGATCTAAAATCCTGGGAAATCTGCTTTAGGGAGCTCTTCTAAGCAATGCTTTTTCTGGTAGATTGGGAAGTCAAGGTTTGCCCTGGATTTCATCTTCATGGGGGTCTGGGATGCAGGGTGGGCAATGAGGGACACCCAAAAACCTCCTCTGGCCCAACAAATCCAAGTTGATTTGTTCCTACTGCTGCACTGTAAAATAAACCCCAAAACATGTATGTAAGAATGTTAAATAATATTAGAAATCCATGTCATGCTCACCTGCAGACGTTCTGGGAATAAAGTCGGGTTTTTGGCCAAGTCCTGGAGCGTGGAGTTGAAGGAAATTTCCATCAGGATTGAGGGGACACCTGAGATGTCCCTCTGGGTTTGCCCCAGCCCCAAAGGAGCATTTCCCCCAGCTGCCAGGAGGCTGCTCCTTCCCTGACCTTTATTTGCTATATTAAAGCAAACACACATGATTATTATTATTATTATTGTTATCATTATTATATATTCCATCCCATTCCAGCAGGGCTGTGGGATGTGCCAGCTCCACCAGGGCTCAGTTCCTGCCGTTCCCAGCTGTGCCCACACACAGAGCTTTGTAAACTCGTTAACAACTCCATTAATTACGGGCTAACGCTGATTGGGATCATCTGAGGAGCAGCCCCGTGTTCACAGACCCACAACTGCAAAATCAAAATCCCAGAGGAGCAGCTTGGGCAGGGGGAACAGAGCAGGAATATTTCTCCTTCTGTTCCCTGGAGGCCCCACCTTTGGCTTGAAGAACAGAGGAGCTCCAGCCCCAAATCCCAAAGAAATGAGGGAGTTTTCTTCCAAAGGTGCAGCTGGATCAGCCAAAGCTCATCCACCAACAGCTCCCCAAGCCCACTCAGGAGCACATGGAATAATCCAGAATCCTGGGATCCCTGAGGCTGGAAAAGCCCTCCCAGAGCATCGAGGTCCTGCTGTGCCAGATCCCCACCTTGTCCCCAGCCCAGAGCACTGGGGACACCTCCAGGAATTCCCTGGACACCTCCAGGGGTGGGCATCCAAACCTCCCTGGGCAGCCCAAAGCCTGACCACCCATTCCATGGGGAAATTCCTGCTGCTGCCCACCTGAGCCTCCCCTGGTAAAACCCAACAGAGAACACCAAGACTTCACCCACCTTGGAAATAAATCCAGTCCAGGAGAAGTTTGAGGTGCTTTTCCCAAAGACTGGACTCTATTCCACGGAATCCCTGATTGTTTTGGGCTGGAAGCACCTAAAAAACCAGGCGGCCAAGGGCAGGGACTCCTTCCAGCACTGCAGGGAGCCCTGTCCAGCCTGGCACTGCCAGGGATGGGCACCCCGTGCCCGTCAGGCACCAAAACAAACCCCGGCAGCCGCAGCCCCCAAGGTTTTCATCCCAATTTCCCGATTTGCCAACATCCCGAGGCAGCAGCGGGGCGGTGCTGACCTCTAGTGAGAGGTGGCTGGAAGAAGGAGCAATCCTGGGATAAATTCCCTCCCGGCTCCATCCCCTGCCCCTCCTCGGCCACCGCGGGCAGGGCACGCAGAGATTTTGAGCAATTGGCCCAATAAATGCCCGATTTTGATATATTTTCAATAACTGTGCCCAGGGAGGGTCAGAGCCCTCTCCACAGCCAGCCGGAGGGGCTGCAGCTCCCAGGGGAATTTGTCCCCCAGGAGTTCCCCCAGGGCTGGGGCAGGATGCTGAAGGGTGCGGGGAATTCAGCAAGTGAAACTGAAACAGGAACCGCAGGGCTGGAAAAGCCGGCCTGGAGGGAACAGCAGAGCAGCTCCCACCAGAACGCGTCAGAGTTCAAGAGAAGAAGAACAGCAAAATTCAATTTAATTCTCTCCCTCCCCATGCAAAAAAATCAACAACCCAGCAGTGGGGGAAGCTTTGCCTTTGGATCCTCAAAGAGAAACTTCCCCCAAACTCTCCACCCTTCCCAGGGGAAAAAAATGACCCCAACAAACCCAAAAGACAACAAGAGAACCCTCAACAAGCAAAAAGCAGCGTCCAGTGGAAGGCTTTATTTAAAAACACCCAAAATTCACAAGTCTACAAGGAAACCAGCAGCCAAGCCAAGCCCTCAGTGCTGGTTCTGAGGAGCCAGCAAAGCCAGTAAAACCCAGCACAGCTCAGGGGGCAGGAGCTCCCAGAGCTGCTGCTCTGCTTTCCACATTGTCCTTCAGAATCCAGAACTTTCACCCAAAAGGTCCTTCAGAAAAATGAGAGTTTTCCTGCTTCATCAAAAAAAGCTCCACTGCAAAGTCTCTTTTAAAACCAACTTTAAGACTGTGAGTTCTGCTTAAATTAAAATATTAAATTAAGAATATCCTACATCAAATGCAGCATTTTTATCCTAACAGACTCCTCTCTCTGCAGCCAGGCACAAGGCAAAGGCTCCTGAGCTTTTTGTGGCTCACAGGGACTCCCAGGAGCCATCCCAGGAACATTCCCCATTCCTGGGGCTCCACAAACCTCCTGCTCCTGCCCTGGAAAGCAAGATCTGCTCACTTCAGGGATCATTTATCTAATTACCTCGAGGAGTAATTAAACCAAAGCAAAATGCTCTCTGCAGGAGCTCTGGGAAGTCCCTCCTCAGCAAGGAGCCTCCCACTGCAGCGCTGGGAAAATGATGAGTTCCACCATGGAACTGGAGGCTTTTCCCTCTGGAAGCCAAACTCAGCACTTGCTTTAACTCTTTTTATGGTTTTTAGTCACTAACTCTTAAAAACAAATCAGTTTTCACATTATTCAGGCTTGGAGAGGTTATTGCTGTTCCAGACCTGGGATACATTCCAAGGTGAACACTTTCTGTCCTTGTGGAATTGGAGATTCCTCTCAGATATCCACTTGGGAGCTTTTCCTCACCTTCTTCTCTCAGAAAAACAAACCAGAGCAATGAAGGTGTCCAAGGGGAGAGGCTGGAAGTCCCCCCCTGCATCCAGGCTCATCCCAGCAATGCAATGATTGAGTTTTCCCATTTGCCAGCCAGAGATCAAATCCTGGCCCTGGCTCAGCTGCTCACGGAGTATCTGAGGCTGGAGCAGCTGCTCAGAGGTTCCACCAGAGCCACAATTCCCCATCAGCATCTCTGCCCTGCCCAGCAAGGAGGAGTTTTAGGCAATATTTTAAATCTAGGATCTAGGCTGGCAGCAAAGCACGGAGCATCTGCTGGTGCTGGGCTCTGTGTCCCAGGAAATTCAGTGTATTCCTGCTTTTCCACAGGGCCAAGCTGCTATTTCAGCACGCTTCTGTGGGCCAGGGTTGAGAAACAGGAGCAGTAATGAGCTGGGAGCTGCAAAAAAATAAAATTAAGACATTCCTCAGCTTCTGAGGTGGGCCAGCCTTTGATCCCTTTCCTTCATTCCATTTTTAATTATTGGGAGGTTTCTTTCTGAGACCAAATCCCAGGAATTTCACTCAGAGGTGGAGCTGCTGGCTGTTAAAACCAGCCAAATTCTTTAAATAAACCCCTGATTATTCTGGTTTTGAATTGTCTGTGAACCCCTGTTAGTGATACCTGAGCTCCAAGCTTGGACAGGTATTTATTCCTTAAACTAAAGGCATCAGCTTTTGGCAGCAATTTTGCCAAATCATCTTCATTCTGCCTTCTGAGCCTCTCCTGCTCTTCTGCTCTGCAAAAGAAAAAGTGGCAAAAAGATGTTTGCCCTGAGGGAAAACCCTGCCAAGCAGGGAATTATTGGAATATCAGTCAATATTTTAGTATTGTTATTGTAATAGCTAGGAAATGTTCTGGGCTATCAGGTGAATGAGCCTGAGATGTGCAGGGATCAATAATTCAGTGTAAAGAAAGAGAGAGGCTGATTTCTGCAGCTTCCTTTTATTTCATTCCAAGATTTCAGTAGAAAGAGAAACCTTTTGGTTTTTCCCAGATTACAACGTGCTCAGGGAGCTCTGTAACAACTTTTCTATCTATTAAACAAACTTTCATCCTTAAAATAAACATTACAATACAAAGAGAATCTAGAAGGCAATAAAAGACTGCTCAGCAGTCTCAGAGTTCAGAAATCTACCAAAAAAAAAGGTCCCTTTGAGCATCTGTGGCTCTTTTTGCACTGTGGTGAAAGGACACAACCCAAAGCTGTGAATACATTGAAAAAGTGGTTTTTGCATGAGGACAGTGACAGAACAGCAGCAGGGAGGTGCTGGGAGCCCTGGGTGGGAACACAAAAAGGCTTTTTGCTCAGGAAGCTCCACCCTGTGAGCTCAGGGGTCTGAGCTCAGCTTTGCTCCAGGGGCCCCTGGGGAGGCAGAGCCCAGCCCAGCAGGAAAAGGAATTTTGGAATTGTGAGAACACAGCAGGGGCTGAGGCAGTGCTGGAAGCCCCAGGGGTGAGTGGATCTTCCAGAGAGCTACAGAGCAACCTCAGCTCTGCTGCTGGCAGCTGGGGAGGTGCTGGAGCTCCCACCTGGGATGGGCTTTGCTATTCAACTTTCCTTTCTGCAAGAAATGGGGACAACAATTACTGCAAACCCTGGCCTGGGGCAGCCCAGATCCCCCAGAACCCCTGGAATTGTCACACAAGGGTGACAAACCCTGAAATGGGACATCCCAGATCCCACAGAACCCCTGGAATTGTCACACAAGGGTCACAAACACTGAAATGGGACAGCCCAGATCCCCCAGAACCACTGGAATTATTACACAAGGGTCACAAACCCTGAGATGGGACACCCCAAACCCCCCAGAATCCCTGGAATTGTTACACAAGGGTGACAAACACTGAAATGGCACATCCCAAACCCCACAGAATCCCTGAATTGTTACTAGGGTGACAAACTCAAACACTGAAATGGCACATCCCAAACCCCACAGAACCCCTGGAATTGTTACACAAGGGTCACAAACCCTGAGATGGGACATCCCAAACCCCACAGAACCCCTGGAATTGTTACACAAGGGTGACAAACCCTGAAATGACACATCCCAAACCCCACAGAACCCCTGGAATCACTGATTTGTTACACTAGGGTGACAAACCCTGGCCTGGGACAGCCTAAATCCCATCAGTGCTGTGATTTAGGCTCAAACCACCACACTTCACTTGTGAGGCCACTGAAATAAAGGAAAACAGAGAGGAACAGTGCCAGGAAAGGACACCTGGATAATGCTGCCCCAAACACTGACTGACAGGAGGCAGGATATGAAATCCAAAAACAGACTGAAGAAAATAAATCCAGCAGAAATCAGATTGGAGAAATGATCTGCTCAATCCCTTCAGGACAAACACTTCCCAAGGCACTGACATCTGCTGGCTCTGTACTTACTCAGAAGCAGCTGCTTTTTGCAGTTTTGCCCTTTTCTTTGCAGACCAGTTGAGATCACCACCTGTAAGAGCAGCAGTGGGCACTGAGACCTTCCAAACTGGGGTTTTGTGGCTTTGCTATCAAAACTCCCCCCAGGAGCTCTCAGAGCACTGAGAAAGCAGAAGAAAGATTTTACAGAAGTAGAAACTGAGGGAAGGAGAAGCTGCAAAGACTCACCTGTGAGGTGATTCACGAAGTACAGCATGACCACAGCTATCAGTGACACTGCAAGAGGAAAGGGACAGTTTTAGCTGACAATAAATGACCAGGCTGAACCCACAGCCAAGATTTTCATGGAATCTCTAACTCAGAGGAGTTTCCTGCTTTTGTAAATCTCCCTGTGCTCACAGAACGTGGTAATTCAGAAAGGATTTTAATTTTAAACTTATAATTTACACTTTAAAAGCACTGTTTGTCTACTCTCACTCCATTTTTTAAACACTGAAACTCTCCACGCTTCAAGGAAACCCCAAGCACTTCAGTGGCTGTGAGTTCATCCCAACACTGCCCCAGCTGACACCTCTTGGAGAGGAATGTTTCTGTTTCCCAGGAAATGTGAAGCCAGAGAGCCCAGTGAAGCTTCCTGAGCCCATTCCCAGCGTGTTCCAGACTCACAGCAAACACAGGCACTGAAGAAGACCTCCAGGAACAGGTATCCCCTGGTGTCCAGGATCATGCCAGCTGCTATGGCAATCACTGCCAGGCCCAGGTTCTGGATGGACTGCATGCTGGGACAGAGCAGGAACAGCAGTGATTTCTTTCTTTCTTTCTTTCCTCAGGAAAATGGAGTTTCATTTCCTCAGGGAAAGCTCCTCAGTGGCACTGAGCCCATGAGAGCTGCACTGTCCCCGTTTGTTGGGACATGGGGAGGCAGGGCTGGGTTTTGCAGGAGTTCCTGTGCCTCCCCCAGCCTCGGGCTCTGTCCCAAACCCCCCTCCCCAGAGCAGCCTGGAACTCCTGCTCCCAGCCTGGAGGAGCTGGAACCAGGAATGGGTTGGATCTGCTCAGATTCCGTGCTTCCAGAGTGCCAGGGATCAGGGCATGGCTGGGGATGGAAGGGACCTTAAAGCCCACCCAGACCCATGGGCAGGGACCCCTCCCACTGCCCCAAGGGTCCAACCTGGCCTTGGGCACTGCCAGGGACCCAGGGGCAACCTCAGCAAATCCAGGAATCCCACCCCAGCCCCTCCCCACCCTCCCAGGGAACAATTCCTTCCCAGTGTCCCATCTCTGGAGTTTAAACCATCCCCCCTTGCCCTGGCACTCCAAGGTCCCTCCCCAGCTCTCCTGCAGGCTCCCTTCACTGGAATTCCCAATGCCATCCATCCCTGCCCTCTCCCCGTGTCCTGCCCCTCTGTCCCTTGTCCCCAGGTCACCCCAAAGCTGCTCCCTGCAGGCTGGAGAGCCCTGCACTGCCACAAAGGTACTCACAAGCCATAGGCAGTTCCCAGCTGGTGCTCGGGGACAACAAAGGCCACCATGGGCCACAGGGCACAGGCCAGCAGGGAATAGGACACGCCCAGCAGGCACTGGGGACACAGGGGACACGGGGTCACAGCAGGGCCACCCAACAGATCAGTGCACCCCCAACAGGGACAGAGAGCGGCTCAAGGAACGCTCTGTGCCATGAAACTGGAAATAAATGTCCACACTCGGGGCTTCTTCTGGGAATGATCCCCAAAAATAATCCCTGGTGATTTAAATTGGGGTCTGATTGAGCACCCAGAGCTGCACCTCACGGGAAAGATGCTTGAAAACCAAAGTTGTGAATCCCTGCCCCACTGAGGAGCAGCACAGGGCTCAGCTCCAAACCAACACTGCAGGAAATCTGCCTCAAGGAAAGATGCTTGAAAACCAAAGTTGTGAATCCCAAAGTTTGAATCCATTTGAAAATGTGAATTCTCAAGAATTTGAGAAGAATGCACATTTTTACTGAGGTTCCATCCAGCACATCAGAGGCTGCTTGAGTAACAGTGATAAGCTTCAGAAATAAATTAAAATAACGATTTTTAGGAGAAAAATAAGCAGTTTGAATAATAGTAAAAAACTTCAGAAATAAAGTAAAAGAGCAAGTGAGCAGTTTCAATAACAGTAAGAAGCACCCAGAGCTGCACCTCACGGGAAAGATGCTTGAAAACCAAAGTTGTGAATCCCAAAGTTTGAATCCATTTGAAAATGTGAATTCTCAAGAATTTGAGAAGAATGCACATTTTTACTGAGGTTCCATCCAGCACATCAGAGGCTGCTTGAGTAACAGTGATAAGCTTCAGAAATAAATTAAAATAACGATTTTTAGGAGAAAAATAAGCAGTTTGAATAACAGTAAAAAACTTCAGAAATAAAGTAAAAGAGCAATTTTTAGGATAAAAGTGAGCAGTTTGAATAATAGTAAAAAAAACTTCAGAAATAATTTAAAAGAACAATTTTTAGGAGAAAAGTGAAGACCTGGCAGAGGAATTTAGTAATGGAGTGAGGAATCTTTTCCACCTCCCAACACACACAATAATTCAGTGCCAACCCCATTGCTTAATTTATATTTATGAAAGAAATATTTGATAATTTATTTCTATTTAGGTCTAAACCCCAGAAATAAATATTTGATATTTAATTCTATTTAGGTCTAAATCCCATAAATAAATATTTGATATTTTATTTCTATTTAGGTCTAAACCCCAGAAATAAATATTTGATATTTTATTTCTATTTAGGTCTAAATCCCAGAAATAAATATTTGATATTTTATTTCTATTTAGGCCTAAATACCAGAAATAAATATTTGATATTTGATATTTTATTTCTATTTAGGGCTAAACCCCAGAAATAAATATTTGACATTTTATTTCTATTTAGGCCTAAACCCCAGCAATAAATATTTAATATTTCCTTCTGTTTGGGACTGAGTTACCATGGCTATCCAGGGGTTCCAGAAGGTGAAGGCCAGCATGATGTGTGAGGCCAGCGTGGTGACCACAGCACACAGCACCCAGATGATGTTCTTGCCAACTTTATCCACCAGCAGGCCAAACACTGGGGACATGGGGGCTGAGATGATGTACACGATGCTGCAGGAGAGGGAAATTCCAGATTTAACACCCCCTGAGTCCTTTGTTAATTCCAGGGACAGAAGAAAAAAGCAGCCCCCAAAAAACCCCAGTAATTTAGAATTCCCAAAGGGCTTGAGGACATGGAAGTGCTCAGCAGCCAACAGTGACAGACTCAGTGTTTTCTTGGGGGGTTTCACTGCTTTGGGCTTTGGCCACGTCTCAAATTCATCCTCAGACTACCCAAACTGAGCTCCTTTAGTGTTGTTATTAAACTGCTTTTATCACTCAGGGAAGAATCACTAAATACTAAAATAAAACCCCCCAGAGCTTTTTCTTTCCAGTGTGAACACCTGTTTTTAATAAAAAAACACATCCACATTTCCCAGTTATTCCTTGGGTCTGTGAAATTATTTCTGCACTTAAATGCAGCTCACAGGAGATCCCAAATCTCTTCCCACCTGCCCAGAGCCCACAAATACACCCTAAAATTTGGCAGTGTTCCTTATTAAATCCACCACAATGTACCTGTTAATTGCACTGGCTTCTTGAGAGGAAAATCGGAATTTTTCAATAAAGAAAACCCTGAGGGGAGGAAAAACATTATTTAGGAAAATGCAGACCTGAAGGACAAGAAATCAAAATGAAGTTAGACAAAGACATGAGAATCTCAGTTACAAAAAAAAAATTAAATAGAGCTTTGACATAAATATCCCAGATTCTAACTTATAATTCATTTAGGAGCTTGTTAGCAGACTCCACAGATTTTAATTTAAGGATCACTCTAATTATTACACTTTGGGGAACACACAAAAAGTCCATAACCAATATTTAACCAAAATACTGAGGTACTGGGTTGTAAATATGGAAGGAATCCTACAGGACCCCAAATTCCACCCCATGTTTTAAAGTGGATCCAGTTTTAATCAGGAAATCAAACATTCCTCACGCCCCCCAGTTCGTAATTCCCAAAGAATGTGAAGTTTTTAAGCATTTTGGTCACAAGCTTGGCCAGATTCCAAGGGAATGGCTGGAAAAGTGGGTGGCACTTACTTGCCAAGGCCAATGAAAGGGAAAACTGCAGCGTAGTAACAGACACAGATGACAAAGATGAGCCACAAGGACAGGGAGAAATCCTTCACATCTGTCAGCTTGATCACTTCTCCTGCACAGGGGGGGACACAGCGTGCCATCAGTCAGGATGGACAAACACCCAGGAGTAACAGACACAGATGACAAAGATGAGCCACAAGGACAGGGAGAAATCCTTCACATCTGTCAGCTTGATCACTTCTCCTGCACAGGGGGGGACACAGCGTGCCATCAGTCAGGATGGACAAACCTGGCATTCATCACACCCAGCTGATCCCAAATCCCTCCTAAAGCACAGCCCTGGCTGGACATTAAAGGTCCCTTCCATCCCAAACCAGGCTGGGACTCCACTGGATCTCAAACTGAGTTTATTTTTAATTGGCTTGAGCTGTCCCACGTGGAAAACTCAAGCCTGCACACACTGACAGGGAGGAGCTCCATGGTTCTGCACCCCTGCTAAAGGAAATCAGCTCCAAGAAAACACAGAACCAGTGGCACAAATGGGTGCAAACTTTGGTTTTTATAAATAAAGCAGGTGACAGTGCATCTGCCTGCTGAGCTGGTGTTTAAAACTAACACTCCATGGAAAAATCAGCTCAAATTTTGATTGGAAGTGTGACAAAGTTTAGAAGCAGGCACTGAATGACCTGAAAAGCAAAGCTGGCTGGGGCAGGGGGGCTGGAAGGGTCAGGCCCAGCACTCACCTGTTTTCCCCTGCTCTTTACAAAGCAGCTTCTCTGCTCTCCTGTCCAGGTAAGCCAGGATTAAAGCACAGCTCAGTGAGAAGAGACAGGTGACCCCACCTGAAGAAGGCAACACCACATGGTCAGCTGACAGCTCGAGCAGTAATTTGGTTTTCAGCCCAATTAGAGCAGTTTTTGGGCATGTCAGGTACACCAAGTTTAGCACCAGCTTTAAGGCTCAAGAGCTGCACAACTCAAAGGTTCAGGTGTAAATCAGAACCCTGGCACGTGGCACACACCTGCCTTGGAGCACAGGCATGTACATGGGTTTATTTTATATTTATTTAAAATGTCACCAGCTCCTCATCTGCCCCTTGCAGGAACAGAAACAAACCTGGCCTCATTCCCAGCACCACAATCTCCATGCCCATGGCTCTGAGGGAAGGGAACACACCCCAAAATTGTTCAAATTTCCCTTTTACAATCAGATAACCCACAGGCAAGCTTTGACACTCCGCAGAAAATTTTTCAAGCCTATCCTTTGCTCAGAGGATGTGAAATATTTCATCTCCACAAGACACAGACTTGAATTTGGCAGCCCCAAAAACGCCACAGCATTTCAGCTGCAGTAACTTGAGAGAAAATGAGATTATGATACAAAAGGTGTTGGGAATTGCTGTTCCTAAGCTCAGACAGAGTTGTTCTGCTTTTAAGTGGTCAATAAATGCTTTTAAGTGATTAATAAATGCTTTTAAATGATTAATAAATCAGTAACACACACGAGGTGGCACCAACCCAGAACATCACTGACCTATGAGCAGAGCCAGGCCGAGGGTGCTGGGACCAGTGTAGCCCAGGAGATCCTGAACTCTGGAGTAGATCCATCCCATAATATTCATGTTCACCGTGCTCCCCTAGGCACAACAGAGCCACGTGAAGAACCCAGCCTTTCCCAGCTGCAGGGATTCACCAAGAGTTATTAAAATGCCACCCAGGGGACAGCAGGGAAGAGGATCCAAGGGATTCCCTGCTGGGTTGGTAACAAAGCAATCCTTGCAACAAGGATTCCACACCACAAACTGAAATTCATACAAGCCTGGAGAGTTTTCACTGATGGGAAGTGCACAAACCCACAGGCACGAGCTCATAAACTGAGCTGAATTGGACAGGTTTGATCCAACAGGATTGCCAGCTGACAGGCAGCAGGAAAAAGCCCCTTTTCCCTCCTTCTGCCCCCAGGAAAGGATCCGTGGCTGCCAGCACTGCAACATCCCCCTGCCCCAGCCAGGAGCAGCTCCCAGCTCCAGCAGGGAAACACCTGCAGTGCTTAAACCCCCCCAAAAGGAGCCTAAAATGGGAGCAGAGCCCCCCTCTGCAGGTGCACACTCACAATCCTGGCCATGCTGAGCTGCAATCCAAACACCAGGTTGAGCTCCTTGCCCTTGAACCAGCTCACTGCATAGGTGTTCTGGGCCACTGCCAGGGACTCACCACCAATCCTGCAAAAACACAGCACCCTCAGTGCAGCAGGCACAGCAGGAAGGGCCTTGGCAGCAGCACACTGCAGAGAGCTGCCTGGGCACAGGCTGACTTGGTGCAGGTCTGAGTACACGAGGCAACAGAAAGCCAAAATGGAAGTGCAGGGATTGAAGAACAGTTGGGGCTTCCAGAGGTTTTGATTCAGCAACACCTGCAAAGTGCTGGCTTTGGTTTTCTGAGTTACACAAGAACTGCAGATCCTGCATTCCTCAGCTTCAGAGGTCTCAGAATGCACCAGCTCTGGCTCCACGTGGCAGCACTTTTCTAGGAGAGCTTTCTAGGGTTAGTTTTTGTAGTTTTCCTAAAAAGAGCACAAATCTGCCCTTCCAGACTCACCCAAAGATGAATCTGCCCACTTCCATCAGCCAGAAGGTATTGAACAGTGCTCCCAGAGCAAAAACCACCTGCACAGCAGCAAAGGAGAATGGTAATTGTGCCTTTCAGGTATGCAACAGAGCAGGACTGTCTGAAAACAAAAATTGTTTCCCTTCCCACATCCATTTCCTGCTCCTTTTGGTTTTTGCTCCCTCTGCTGTCCTGGCCCAGCTGGGACTGTGGCAGCCTCAAGCAATTTCACATCAAACACACAGAACCGTGGGTCCTTCCCACAATTCCAGCCACATTCCAAGGTTCCCCCTCCCAACACAGCCCAGGCTTCTCCCAGTCCAGTTCCCAGCTGAGGTGAAACACAAACTGCAGGCCCAGACCATCCTCCAGCCCCTCCCTGCACTCACCTGCCCAACACACACAAAGCTGCTGAATATTACAGTGCCCAGCCTGCAAAGACAAGAAAATCACTTCATGCACAAGCAGAATCCTCTCTTTTCCACCACAAAACACTATTTTGGACCTGCAGCAGGGAAACAAGGGGAGCTGGATGGGCAATTAAAAGGTTTGTGTTATAAACTGTGCAGCTCAGCAATTCCCACAGAGAACAGGGAGTGCAAGGTGGTGTTTCTGAAACCAAATTATTTAAGTTATAAAGGAAAGGAAGCTCATCTATATTGTTCAAAAATCCTAAATGGAGTGGGGAAAACATTGAAGATGTTTATTGTAACCTGGAAAAGCTTTAGAACATCAAGGGTAAAGCTCAGCTGCAGTTTCAGCTCAGGATTCCCTGCACATGAGAGCCACAAAGGCTGCACTCACCGGATCCCAAACACTCTGTCTATCAGGAACCCTCCAAAGAAGCACAGCACCACGTTGGGCCACGAGTACCAGGCATAGAGAGCCATGAACTGGGCTGTGTTCACCTTCATGTCCTGCACAGCACAGGGATGGGGAAAAACATTCTGAGCTAGCTGTGTGCACACAGAGTCAGCATTCAGGAGAGCCAGCGTTTTCTGTAACCCACAGAATTCCTAGACTGGAAGGGATTCATTTTGTTCCAAGCCCAGGGACACCTTCCTCTATCAGGGGGTGCTCCAAATGGCCTCGGCACTGCCAGGGATCCAGGGACAGCCACGGCTGCTCTGGGCACCCCGTGGCAGGGCCTGCCCGCCCTCCCAGGGAACAATTCCTCCCCAAATCCCAAACCTCCCCTGTGCCAGCGGGAAGCCCTTCCCCATGCCCACACAGCAGGTCACTCTCCGCGTTTTCCAAAGCGCCCTGACAGCGACTCACCCGCTGAACCTGCGTCTGCAGAGCGGCCGGGTTGTCGTAGCAGAAGTAGCTGCCTGCAGGGAGAAGGGGACGCCTCAGGGCTCTGCCCCACACCCCACCCCCCAGCCCCCACCCCACACGCAGCGCCCCGGGCCCGTCCCGCTATTACAGTGCCCAGCCTGCAAAGACAAGAAAATCACTTCATGCACAAGCAGAATCCTCTCTTTTCCACCACAAAACACTATTTTGGACCTGCAGCAGGGAAACAAGGGGAGCTGGATGGGCAATTAAAAGGTTTGTGTTATAAACTGTGCAGCTCAGCAATTCCCACAGAGAACAGGGAGTGCAAGGTGGTGTTTCTGAAACCAAATTATTTAAGTTATAAAGGAAAGGAAGCTCATCTATATTGTTCAAAAATCCTAAATGGAGTGGGGAAAACATTGAAGATGTTTATTGTAACCTGGAAAAGCTTTAGAACATCAAGGGTAAAGCTCAGCTGCAGTTTCAGCTCAGGATTCCCTGCACATGAGAGCCACAAAGGCTGCACTCACCGGATCCCAAACACTCTGTCTATCAGGAACCCTCCAAAGAAGCACAGCACCACGTTGGGCCACGAGTACCAGGCATAGAGAGCCATGAACTGGGCTGTGTTCACCTTCATGTCCTGCACAGCACAGGGATGGGGAAAAACATTCTGAGCTAGCTGTGTGCACACAGAGTCAGCATTCAGGAGAGCCAGCGTTTTCTGTAACCCACAGAATTCCTAGACGGGCTGGGATGGAAGGGACTCGTTTTGTTCCAAGCCCAGGGACACCTTCCTCTATCAGGGGGTGCTCCAAATGGCCTCGGCACTGCCAGGGATCCAGGGACAGCCACGGCTGCTCTGGGCACCCCGTGGCAGGGCCTGCCCGCCCTCCCAGGGAACAATTCCTCCCCAAATCCCAAACCTCCCCTGTGCCAGCGGGAAGCCCTTCCCCATGCCCACACAGCAGGTCACTCTCCGCGTTTTCCAAAGCGCCCTGACAGCGACTCACCCGCTGAACCTGCGTCTGCAGAGCGGCCGGGTTGTCGTAGCAGAAGTAGCTGCCTGCAGGGAGAAGGGGACGCCTCAGGGCTCTGCCCCACACCCCAACCCCCACCCCACACGCAGCCCCCCGGGCCCGTCCCGCACCGAATCCCAGGAAGCACATGAGGGCCAGGACGAGCAGGCGGTGCGGGAGGCGGCGGGGGTCGCAGGCGGCGGGCAGGGCGCGGGGAGGGCCCGGGGAGCCGCCGCCGCCATCGCCGCCATCGCCGCCCAGCAGCGCCCGCTGCTCGTCCGCCATCGCGCCCGCCTCACGTGAGCGCCCCGCACGTGACCCGCCCCCCACGTGACACCCCCCGCACGTGACCCGTTGCCATGGCAGCGGCGGGCCGAGGCCTGCCGGGGGGGGCCCTGGGAAAGTGAAATGAATATTTTTTAAAAAATGGAAATCGTGAAAAACGAGGTTTCACTAAGCTTCATTAACAACAGAAATAAAACGCGTATCTTTACAACAAAGTCACTTTGACACTACACATCTAAAATCCATTTTCATATCTGTGAAAAGCCAATGTTATAATACGGATCTCCAACAGAAATGGAAGTGGAAATGGAGTTTGAGGGCCAGGCTGCAAGGCTGAGCACCCAGGGAAATGCACCAGATTGTGAAATTGCTGCACAATTGCTGAAATTGTCCTTCTTTTGGGTGTTGAAGTCGTGGGATCATGGAATCACTGGAAGGCTTCTCCTCTCCAAAGTCATTTTTCTTGAGCTGTTTGCTCCAACAGGTTCTTGCCATATCAGAAAAACCCCTGAAAAAGCTACTTTTTTACTGTAAAAAGCTCCAGTCTGCCATCAAATTTCACCTTCTTGCACCAAAAATGACCTGAATCCTGTGTACACATCATCAATGGCTTTCTGATGAAAAGATGGTCTTTTTGAATAAAATATGCTCTTAATGAGGCACAACCCCTTGTGATTTAAGCCTTTATTTACCTTTTCAAGGTGTAGAAAGCAAAGGGCTGAGTTTTACCTGAGATGCTGAATGACACACTCACCTCCCAGCCACTCTGTCATGAATTTGATGAGGAACCATGGAGGAAAGTCAAAACAACCTCTCAAAACATGCAGGCATCACGTTGTGAGTCAGCTCAGGCTCCTCCTGGACATAGCAAAGGGCTGAGTTTTACCTGAGATGCTGAATGACACACTCACCTCCCAGCCACTCTGTCATGAATTTGATGAGGAACCATGGAGGAAAGTCAAAACAACCTCTCAAAACATGCAGGTATCACGTTGTGTTACCTCTTGGACACAAATCACTTCATTTCACTTGATACATGTCTGTTCAGAGACCTGCCAAAAGAGAAATGTGCTATGAACTTAGTCATGCTCAACTGCTCTAAACTCCTTTAGATTCCTTGAAATCTGAGCATCTCAGTTTACCACAGTGCCTGTGAAAAACATGGGCTTAAATGACAAGGCTTTGTTGGAAAAGCAGTTGTGCAACAAACTGGAGAGTTTCAGTGACAAACTGGAGGATTCCAGTGACAAACTCAAGGGTTTCTGTGACAAACTCGAGGGTTTCTGTGACAAACTCGAGGATTCCAGTGACAAATTCAAGGGTTTTTGTTAAAAACTCAATGGTTTCTGTGACAAACTCAAGGGTTTCTGTGACAAACTCAAGGTTTTTGTTAAAAACTCAATGGTTTCTGTGACAAACTCGAGGGTTTCTGTGACAAACTCAAGGGTTTCTGTGACAAACTCAAGGGTTTTGTTAAAAACTCAATGGTTTCTGTGACAAACTCGAGGGTTTCTGTGACAAACTCAAGGGTTTCTGTGACAAACTCGAGGATTTTGTTAAAAACTCAATGGTTTCTGTGACAAACTCGAGGGTTTCTGTGACAAACTCCAAGGTTTTCATTGCCACTTGAGGGAGCTCAAAGATAATTGTCCTTGCAGAGCCACCTGGAGTTTCCTGATTCCAGGGAGACAATTTCTATCCACAGATCAAACAGGTAACTTTGGGAAGCAAAGCTAAATCGAGCCTGGCGTTGTGTTTATCTTGTTCTGTGTCACACCAGGCTCTTGATCAGAGAGTAAGAAATTACAGCCATGCACCCAGGATATTTAAGAGGAGGAAAAGACAGTTTTCCATTTGCTAATTCCCAGTATTTGCCTTTGCCCCAGTCCCCTCCACCTTGACCTTGCCCCTGCTGAGGCTCGTGGCTGTGATGTTCCTGTGAGCTCAGCCCTGATTCCCACAGGCATTGCAGTGTTTATGTCCCAAATAAATACAGGGGACTGCTCTTAAAGTCAGCCTTTAGAATGTTGGTTACAGATGTAGTTGCTGCTCCCCATAAATCAGAGCACCTGAAGTGCCATTTGATCCCAAACGCTGTGGTTAGCATCAGCAAATGGAGGATTTATAAATTTATAAATCCTGTGCTGTGCACAGGATTTATGGGGCCATAAAACCCTCGTGCCTGTGGCCTGCCCTCCTTGCACAGAGCAGTCAAATCACTTCATTTCACTTGATACATGTCTGTTCAGAGACCTGCCAAAAGAGAAATGTGCTATGAACTTAGTCATGCTCAACTGCTCTAAACTCCTTTAGATTCCTTGAAATCTGAGCATCTCAGTTTACCACAGTGCCTGTGAAAAACATGGGCTTAAATGACAAGGCTTTGTTGGAAAAGCAGTTGTGCAACAAACTGGAGAGTTTCAGTGACAAACTGGAGGATTCCAGTGACAAACTCAAGGGTTTATGTGACAAACTCAAGGATTTCTGTGACAAACTCAAGGTTTTTGTTAAAAACTCAATGGTTTCTGTGACCAACTCGAGGGTTTCTGTGACAAACTCAAGGGTTTCTGTGACAAACTCAAGATTTTTGTTAAAAACTCAGTGGTTTCTGTGACAAACTCGAGGGTTTCTGTGACAAACTCCAAGGTTTTCATTGCCACTTGAGGGAGCTCAAAGATAATTGTCCTTGCAGAGCCACCTGGAGTTTCCTGATTCCAGGGAGACAATTTCTATCCACAGATCAAACAGGTAACTTTGGGAAGCAAAGCTAAATCGAGCCTGGCGTTGTGTTTATCTTGTTCTGTGTCACACCAGGCTCTTGATCAGAGAGTAAGAAATTACAGCCATGCACCCAGGATATTTAAGAGGAGGAAAAGACAGTTTTCCATTTGCTAATTCCCAGTATTTGCCTTTGCCCCAGTCCCCTCCACCTTGACCTTGCCCCTGCTGAGGCTCGTGGCTGTGATGTTCCTGTGAGCTCAGCCCTGATTCCCACAGGCATTGCAGTGTTTATGTCCCAAATAAATACAGGGGACTGCTCTTAAAGTCAGCCTTTAGAATGTTGGTTACAGATGTAGTTGCTGCTCCCCATAAATCAGAGCACCTGAAGTGCCATTTGATCCCAAACGCTGTGGTTAGCATCAGCAAATGGAGGATTTATAAATTTATAAATCCTGTGCTGTGCACAGGATTTATGGGGCCATAAAACCCTCGTGCCTGTGGCCTGCCCTCCTTGCACAGAGCAGTCAGGTGCAGGGAGCACTCAGGACAGTAAACACTCCCAGGAAACAAGGGGGACTTTTGGGGTTCAGCTGCTCAGAGTTATTGCTGTCTTTGGGGAGATGCTTCAAAGCTGCAGTGAAGCAGGAGCTGTGTTTCACGTGATTAAACTGGCTCCACCATCATTACCCCAGTATCCATTTTCTGAAGGAAAACTCTCATGCTTCCCTCCCCCAAAAGATGAGGGATCTGTCATGCACAGGCATGCAGATTTTAACCCCTGCATGTGCTGAGGAAGGGGTTATTACAAACCCCTCTGTCTCACTCAAACGTTACTGGGTGTTTATGCACCACCCCACAAAGTGCTGGGAAGAGGCTGAGGAAGCTTTTCTGCCCCACAAACCTCTCTGAGGGCAAAGATCCTGGCCTGAGGAAGCTCCTGTGGGTGGGAGGGATCCTGTGCCACAGCAAACAGCTCCTGCCTCTGCTGAGTGCCAGGAGCACTGAGCGGGGTGGGTTTATGGCTCCTTGTGCTAAACGTTGTTCAATATTGTTCTGATCCTTCCTGGAATTCACAGCTCTTCCCGAGGACAGCTGCTGCCAGACTCCTTCTCCAAAGCCAGCTCAGATAATGGAGTGAAAACACTCCCTGGAGAGTGTAGAGCACATTAATGATGTGCAGCTTCCAGGAGGATTTTTGATGTTCCAGGGCAGGCTGGACAGGGCTTGGAGCAGCCTGGTCCAGTGGAAGGTGTGGGATGAGATGATTTTAAGGTCCCTTCCCACCCAAACCAGTCTGGGATTCTGTGATTCTGGGAATTCAGAGCTTTGGGCTACGGGGACTATAAATGAATTTCTGGATAACACTTGAACTTGGCTTCATGCAAAATTTCCCTTTGTGCCTGTTTTCCTCAGGATACACAAATTCCTGCTGGACCTTAAGAGTGCAAAATTCTAACAATCCCCAGGTTATTTGGTGGAAATACTGAACAACAACAGTTCCTGAAAGCCACTGAGCATTTCCTGGATAGTTCATCTTTGAAAAGAAGCATTCTCAAAACATTTAAACTTCTTAAAACTCTCCTGTTTCTTCCAGCAGGATGGGCATGAAGGGTTTCAGGACACGAAGGATTTTATAGCTCAGCCTTGGAATTTCAGGAGGAAGCTTTGATCCTGACTCAGCTGCTGGAGGGTGGTGCCACCCAGCCTCAGTGCCCTGGGAATGAAGGAAGTTCCCACCCTGGACAAAGGCTCTGCTGAAGGCCAGGGAGAGCTCATTGTCACCAGGGCTCCTCATTCCCTGGAGAAGGGAGTGCTGGAAATGGATGGCAGAGGGAACTGCTCCCACTGCCTCCGTGGCAGGGCTGCAGTGCCCCCCTGGAATCCCAGAAAACACTAAAACCATCCTGTTCCCAAACCCAGGGCTGTGGGACACCCCAAGGATCCGGCAGCACCTCCTCTCTGCAGGCTCCTGCAGTCCCCTCTCAGCTGTGTTCTCTCCCTCAGTTCCTTCATTCCAGAGGCAGATCTCCTGCCAGGCTCCTGCTTTTTTCCTGCCCAAGGCTGAGCATTTTCTGCACATCCAGCAGCTCCTCCTCAGGCATTTCCTCTGCCCTCGAGTGGCTGAACTCTGCTGGAGCCTTTCCAAGACCTGGCTGAGGTGGGGTGGGTTTCTTTCCTTCTCTCTGCTGCAGCCTGCAGAACTTTCCAAGCAAACAACTTGATTCACTGGTCCCGTTGTTCCCTGAGCTTGAATTCCTTTGCTGATTACACCTGATCCCTCACTTTCAAATTCATTCCTCCCCTCAGTGGAATTCCTTCTCACCAGCTCTCCCAGGCCTTGAATCTGAGGAAATTCAAGTAAATTCTATCCCTGTAGTTGACATGGTTATGTTAAATATTCTCATTGGGTTGGGATGGTTTAAAAT